GTGCCCTTCGATACAGTTATATTGGGAAATGATAAGGACTTCAATGGTCTACCTTAGTGAGAAGAAGGTTACCTCTTGTCCAGAATTATTTTTACTCCACATAGGTTTAAGGTCATGGTCAAAATATAGTCGCGACTTCATTATACGTATTCTTATGGCAGCTAAGATTGTTATTGCCAGGCATTGGAGGACAATGGATACTCCTATATGGCAGGAAGTGGAGAACCAGTTGTTATACCAAACAAGGATTGAGAGAGGCTCGTGGAAACAAAATAGGAACTCCTACATACTGAGCTCATCTTTGGAGAAATTCGGTCACAGTGGATGATATTAACTGGTAGGGTTAAAAAAGGCGTTTATGATGTTATACATGAGCAACATTCTCTGATTGACAGCAGAGGGTGGGGGGGGATTCATATTTCTAATAAAATGTATCAAGATACAATGTGAACACTTTAGTATATGAGCATATTGAAATGTATTTAATATAAAAAGATGAAAATATAAAATATATGTACTGTAGTTGATAAAGATAAAAGTAAAAAGAAGAAAAAATAGGTGATTTTAAGTATTCCTGTAAGATTTTAAACTGTATTTTGGTGGAGACCCCAGTTTCTGGTGAAACTTTCTTGACTTTATCTTGAAAGAATATAACAAACTGCCTGTTAGAATCCAATCTCTAGCTCATCCATTGCTTATTCCATGCGGACACGTTACACAGTTGTGTTAAGTTGCATTGTGTACAATCATTGCCTGGTCTTATTGAGTGTTTTAGCTGACGTCAGCAGACAGCTTAAACCAAGTAATTAGATAGATTAAGATCAACAGTTATTGAGACACTTTGTTGCCTGTGAAATCAAAGGCAGCATTTTCTGTTTACTCAGATTCCCATTATGAGGTACTTGGATTAGATCCGTTTCTTTTGATCTTTGCAAATAAGCATAATCAGATATTTTGTTTGTTGGAGGCCAATGAATTAAGAAAGGTCATGAGGTGTGTGTGAAGAGATCATTAAATTCTGGTCCGCAATCTTAACCAAGGAAAGTTTTGCAGTGACTTTTCATTTCTGCTCTTTGAAATACTTTAGGGCAGATGTCTATCAACTCTTGCCAAAACTGGTCTAAATAGAGAAAGATAGGGGCAGCTGGAACTCGTTCAGTCATTCAAGGTGGAACATTCCCTGTAATACCTAACGGACCCTTTCTGATACGGTGCAGCATTTTCAGAGACAGAGAGCAAGGTAATCTATGGAATGAATATTTCAAGTCAGTTTCCTTGTGGCTCATTATCTTCCCTCTTCACCTAGCATCCAGAGTTCAGATCTGGCTCACAGATAATAAAATATATATTCGAGACATCGCACAGGGTTATACACTAGAGAGTATTCAAAGTGAATTCGAAGTAAACCTATTCTTCTTCATTCCTGTTCTGCAACTGTCACTAGTCTAATACTATCCTTACCTTTTTGTGTCATTTTACCCCACTCCCTCTAGCATGTAAGCTCATTGAGCAGGGCCCTCAACCCCTCTGTTCCTGTGTGTCCAACTTGTCTGGTTACAACTACATGTCTGTTCGTCCACCCATTGTAAAGAGCTGCAGAATTTGACGGCGCTCTATAAATATCATAATAATAATAATAATAATAATAATGGTTGAAAAATTCTAAAGCAATTAAACAAGCAGCACATTTTAGTTTTGTAAACAAACATTCAAAACAAGGTGATTACATTTTGACATTCACTGAGCATGCTATGCAGTGAAAAAACCCTAGAAAATATATAACCCCCAAAATTAAGAACTAATAGCAGGCTAACTGCGGGATAATGCTGAATGTCTTCAAATAATTAGAAAAGGGAGAAAGATTTTTCTGTTAAAATGTAACTTTTATTATAGCAATTCTAAGATGCAAAATGTTTATCAATAATAAGCAAAATGAGTAAAATGATTTAGAATCTGTTGTTGCTGAGACAATAATAATCTAGTGTATGCAGAATTCACACATGAGAGAAGTAATTAAAATTTATATTTTAAATATTTCTGAAATATATAATTTATAAATATAATTTATAAATATATATATTTTTTAATTTGTCCTCCTTTTTTCCCTCTGTTGGTCACTTCTCACTTGATCTGTGAATGAGATCATTATTTACATTTATATATTTATGTATTATACATGTAATACATTATTATAATAGCTACATATATTTTATTTATATATAAATAACATTTAGATTTAAAGAAACAGGCCCTATAGTATTCAAAACACAATCAAGCACCCTTTGCGCCCACCCTTGTACCCCCCTAATAATAGTAAAATCTTACTTCTATTCGAGTCTGCAGCTGCTGGCTCTGCCTCTGATTGGCTGACATCATCAGAAGTGATTCACTGAGCCAATCACAATGTTTTCCAACAGGATTGGCTGAGATTGTCAGGGAGGCAGATCAAAGGCAGAGGCAGCACAAGACAAACACAGCGCTGGCCAATCACCATCTCTTCATAGAGATGAATTGAATCAATGAATGTTCTCTTTTCTAAATTCTATTTGCACCAAATGCAACACTCTAATGGCACAGTCTGGTATTGAATGTAAATGTATAACATCCCATGCGCAGGAAAACCTATACACAATGTTCATGCGTGTACAAGGCAGGTTGAGAAGATTGCATACACAATCACTCAGAATCTGCTGCAGCTTACTTTCATTTCAAGAGCATTTTCACATATTCATTCCAGAGGGAATACTAGAGCAGTTGTCACAAAAAAAGAATGAAAATTCTTCTTTAAGATTAACAGAGTATTTTTTTCAGAAAATGTTTTAATCTTCATTTTATTTTTGCAATCACAGTAATCTTTTAGCATGCATAGGGCTTACAGCGCTGGAGCGTTGGACATCTGACAGCATCTACCGTATTGATTTTTAACCCCTTAAGGACACATGACGGAAATATTCCGTCATGATTCCCTTTTATTCCAGAAGTTATGTCCTTATGGGGTTAAATTACCTAATTTCAGAATAGAAAAAGCTATTCTCGCAGGGTGTAACAGACATATATTAAATGAGACATTTTCCAAAAAAAAGGAAAACTAAACATTCACAACTTATATCTGGTATATTTTACTAATAAGTGTGGGATTTTGTAGAATGGTATAATATTAAGAACATTTAGATGCAATGAAAACAGACCTTGGAAAACTATTCTTACCTCAATAGACAAGAGCAGATAAGACGGTGTCTTACCTTATTTCAATGTCATTTAGTTCTATTGAAGAGTTTACATTGGAATGGGTTATTGCAAAATCATCTGTTTTCAAAACATAAGAATTGTTATTTGAAAAAGGAACGAATGGCAAATATAATTTTGATGGCAGAAGGGAAAGAACTAGGGTCCCAACCAGCCGGCAATGGATGTGGGCTGGGGGAGAACAAATGGTTCCCCTCCTTCTCACTTAGGGCACTCACCTGCGACAATGGGTGGGAGATGGGGAGGAACAATAGGTTACCCCCCATTATTACTTAGAGCCTTCACCCCTCCAACAATGGGTGGGGGCTGGAGGGGAACAAATTTGGTTTTTCAGCTTTTTGGGGTTGGTAAACCTGTCCAGCCTTGGGAACAACATAAAACATAACAAACTATCAAAACAAGGATAAAGTTTTTCAGGAGGAGTGCAGTTTGTATCTGTCTGCTGCTCTTTGGAGTTAGGACCCAGTCATGTCACAATGCCCATGGCCGAGTGGTTCCGTGGGACAAAGGCGACTACTACTGTGGCTGGGTCCCAGGTCGGTGTTGCCCTCCGGTCTCTTGGCTCCTCGTCAGGGGCTGTCAGTCCCAGTGCTCGCAGTAATGTGGAGGCCTCTTTGGCCGAGGTGATCCTGTGGATAGTCCCACTGTGGCTCACTGTGAGAGCTTGTGGGGTAGTCCATTGGTATGAGATTCCCGCTTGTCTTAGTTGGCTTGTGGCCTGGAGGAAAGATTTGCGCCAATGTAAGGTGGGCCTTGACAGGTCCTGGTAGAAGGATAGATCAGCTCCCTCGAATGTGTAGGGAGTTCGGTTTCGTAGTGCAGCAAGTAGTGCCTGTTTGTCTTGGGCTAATGCGCAGCAGACTATGACGTTCTTCACTGAGTTTGTTGGGGCTTTAAGCAATTTTGGCAGGCGGAATATGCCATCGCTTGTGGAGGCGATAGTAGCGAGGCCGTTAGACGCCTCAGGTAGTGGGGTAACTCTGCCATGGTGACAGACTCCGGCACCCCTCTCATCTTCAGGTTCTTGCGCCTGGAACGGTCCTCTAGCGTAGCAAGGTGTGCAGAAAAGGTTTGTTGCGTCTTTTGGATGGTTTGAATAGAGTCTTTCATTGTGGATACTTCTTGCCTTATATCTATGATATCCTCTTTGCTTGCTCTGACTTTGTCAGTGACCATCTCTAGGTCGGCCTGAATGACTGCTATGTCTGTGGCTAGCGTCTGGCGAAATTCAGTTAGGTAGTTTTTTTTTTTTTTCAATTCGTATTTTATTTTATTGAAAAATTCCGGGGTTAGGGTACAGAAAGGAAGAAGGGAGGGGAAGGGGGGGACATTCAAATACACATTTCTTTCAGGTTGCATGTTGGTCATCATAAGTAAGCATGGATACAGACACAGACTATATTGGCACATATACAAATTTGATCTGATGTAACGAATTTAACGGATTACCTAGGTGCAGAGGTACCAGGGTGCAGTTGGCTACACTTTTGTGGATTATATTGTACTGCGGCTTTTGTCACTTGATTACTTTTACGCTAGTTTACTCTATTTGTTATTGTGTTTTGTGTTTTCGTTGTTATTATTACAATTTGCCCTATTCTGTTGCTTTGTGTTGTATTTAAGATCTATTGACGGACCTCGAGCATTCTGGCTGTCGACAGCCCATGGTCATTGGTGTCAATCTATAGTGTCAGTCTATAGTAGTATTTGGGGCCTCGTCTGCGGTCCCCTTACGAGCCACCCAGTCTGTCCACCTTTGCCAATTAAGGAGCGTGGTAGAGGCTTGTTTGTGAGTGGTAGCCGCGAGCAAGTCATATCGGAGGTATTGTCTAATTTTGTGTTGTAGCATTGTGGTGGTGGGGCGTTCAGTTTGTTTCCAGGTATGAGGTTGCGGGTTGCTAGAATCATCATCACTGTCAGGTGTTTGTCTGTATAAGATATTGAGCTGGGGTATTGGAGGAAGAGAGTCAGTTGGGGTGTAAGTGGTAATTGTTTGATCCCCAAGTCTTGCCATGTCTCATGGACTTCCGTCCATAGGGGTGTAATGATCGGACAATTCCACCAGATGTGGGTCATTGTGCCTCGTCCCGTCCCACATCTCCAACAGTTGGCCGAGGTGTGGGGGTAAATCCTGTGGAGTTTGTCGGGCGTGTAGTACCACCTGTAGAGTAGCTTTTTATGTGCTTCGACATGTGAATAACACGTGGTGATTCCTTTTAGGGCTTGGAGCGATTCTGTCCATTGCTTGTCCGTGAATGACAGTGCGCATTCTTTTTCCCAGTGCAATCGGTATTTGAACTCTGGGTGTGGAGATTGGTTTCTTAAAGCTGTGTAGCTCAGTGATAGCATCTTCGGTTTGATCGGTGAGTTGTGGCACCTATCATACAGTAATAATAGGTCATGGTCTGAGGGGCCTATGTGTGCCGTTGGGGGTGTTACCTTGTTAGCAATTAGGCTTTTAAGTTGGAGATACGGAAAGATGTAGGATGGCGGTAGTTTATGTATTTGTTGAAGGTTTGGGAAGGGAAATAAGGATATCATCTGCGAACATGGACAATTTGTAGTCTGTCTGTTTCACGGGGATTCCCGCAATGTCTGTGTGGGTTCTAATCTTGTAAGCCAGAGGTTCAAGTGAGAGTATAAATAATAGAGGTGAGAGTGGACATCCTTGGCGAGTGCCGTTGGTGATGTGGAAGGGGTTCGAAATAAAGCCTGTGTTAGTGACTTTAGCGGATGGTTTGGAATATAGTGCCATTATGCCCTTGATAAATGAGCTAGGGAAGCCAAACTTGAGAAGTACTTGTTCCATGTATTCCCAGTTTAGCCTATCAAAGGCCTTTTCGGCGTCTAATGCCAGAAGAAGGCCCTCTGTTCTGTGTGTCTCCATGTGGGCTAGGATATTTACAATCTTAGAAACATAGAAACATAGAAACATAGAATGTGACGGCAGATAAGAACCATTCGGCCCATCTAGTCTGCCCAATTTTCTAAATACTTTCATTAGTCCCTAGCCTTATCTTATAGTTAGGATAGCCTTATGCCTATCCCACGCATGCTTAAACTCCTTTTACTGTGTTAACCTCTACCACTTCAGCTGGAAGGCTATTCCATGCATCCACTACCCTCTCAGTAAAGTAATACTTCCTGATATTATTTTTAAACCTTTGTCCCTCTAATTTAAGACTATGTCCTCTTGTTGTGGTAGTTTTTCTTCTTTTAAATATAGTCTCCTCCTTTACTGTGTTGATTCCCTTTATATATTTAAATGTTTCTATCATATCCCCCCTGTCTCGTCTTTCCTCCAAGCTATACATGTTAAGATCCTTTAACCTTTCCTGGTAAGTTTTATCCCGCAATCCATGAACCAGTTTAGTAGCCCTTCTCTGAACCCTCTCTAAGGTATCAATATCCTTCTGAAGATACGGTCTCCAGTACTGTGTACAATACTCCAAGTGAGGTCTCACCAGTGTTCTGTACAATGGCATGAGCACTTCCCTCTTTCTACTGCTAATACCTCTCCCTATACAACCAAGCATTCTGCTAGCATTTCCTGCTGCTCTATTACATTGTCTGCCTACCTTTAAGTCATCAGAAATAATCACCCCTAAATCCCTTTCCTCATATGTTGAGGTTAGGACTCTATCAAATATTCTGTACTCTGCCCTTGGTTTTTACGTCCAAGATGCATTATCTTGCACTTATCCACATTAAATGTCAGTTGCCACGATTCTGACCATTTTTCGAGTTTACCTAAATCATTTGTCATTTGGCTTATCCCTCCTGGAACATCAACCCTGTTACATATCTTAGTATCATCAGCAAAAAGACATACCTTATCTTCCTCGTGTTGTCTGACCCTTGTCTGGTTTTGATGAAGCCTGATTGATCGTTATGTACTATGCGAGTCAGTATGTTTTGTTAGCTAAAATTTTTGCGTAGATTTTTGTATCGCAATTGAGTAGAGAGATGGGTCTGAAATTCTGGCAGACAGTCGCAGGTTTGCCTGGTTTCGGGAGTGTTGATATGTGTGCTTGCAGCATTTCAGAGGGCATTTCGCCCTTAGTGTAGTAGTGGTTTAGGAGCTTGGAGAGGTGTGGTGTTAGGGTTTCTACGAAGGTTTGGTAGTACAGATTGGTGAACGCGTCTGGGCCTGGGGACATATGAAGGGGTTGTT